TGAAAGGAAAAAGGGAATCAGAATAAAAAAGTGGAATGTCAGAGTTTGAAAGGTCTTGCTTCTTGTTCTAATACATTAACTTTCATTGACAGTAACATGTTTGAACAGTCCAAATAAACTCTTCTTCAGAAACATCAGTCTGCACTTGAAAGAGTGGGGTCAACACTATCACTGAACTTCAGAGTTCCTGAACAAGGCTGAATGACCAGGAGTCAGGAAACTAGACTTCTATGGTCTCTCCTTTCTCTTGCACAGTCAGTGAAGTCACCAGATCTGGGTTTTCTGAAAGAAAACCTATTATATCTTTCTTCATCTCTGCTTCTTTTTTGAAGCACTAACTTTCGTCTGAACAATTCCAGGAGATTCTTTCCTGTCCTTAGCCTTCATTCCCAGTCACTTCCATTCCATCCTCTGCTCTGCCCTCTGCTGCTGCTTCTGGTGCTTGATGCTCTTGACTGAGTACAGCCTTTTGTACTCTGATTCCTGCCTGCCTCCCTGCCCTCCCTCCTACCTCAACCTTTGCAAAAGCGGTTCCCTCTTCCTGGAAAGCCTGTTATTTTGGAGCAGAGAAAATCCTGTTCATCCATCATTCAAAACCAAGCAGATCTCCACCCTACGACAGAATTAAACTCATTCCTCCATACGACTCTTATGCTTTTTAGGTATCCCAAAGAAAATGCAAAACTGGAGGTTATGTTTATTAAAAGTCCTCCCAGGGATATTTTGTTCCATTATGTTGCAGGTTCAGTTCAGTTCAGTTCAGTTGCTCAGTCCTGTCTGACTCTTTGCAACCCCATGAATCGCAGCACGTCAGGCCTCCCTGTCCATCACCAACTCCCAGAGTTTACTCAAACTCATGTCCGTCGAGTCAGTGATGCCATCCAACCATCTCATCCTCTGTTGTCCCCTTCTCCTCTTGCCCCCTATCCCTCCTAGCACCAGGGTCTTTTCCAATGAGTCAACTCTTCACATGAGGTGGCCAAAGTATTGGAGTTTCAGCTTCAGCGTCAGTCCTTCCAAAGAACACCGAGGACTGATCTCCTTTAGGATGGACTGGTTGGATCTCCTTGTATTCCAAGGAACTCTCAAGAGTCTTCTCCGACACCACAGTTCAAAATCATCAATTCTTCACTGCTCAGCTTTCTTCACAGTCCAACTCTCACATCCATACATGACCACTGGAAAAGCCATAGTCTTGACTAGATGGACCTTTGTTGGCAAAGTAATGTCTCTGCTTTTTAATATTCTATCTAGGTTGGTCATGAATTTCCTTCCAAGGAGTAAGTGTCTTTTAATTTCATGGCTGCAATCACTATCCGCAGTGATTTTGCAATCCTCCAAAAAATAAAAGTCTGACACTGTTTCCACTGTTTCCCCATCTATTTGACATGAAGTGATGGGACCAGATGCCATGATCTTAGTTTTCTGAATGTTGAGCTTTAAGCCAACTTTATCACTCTCCTCTTTCACTTTCATCAAGAGGCTTTTTAGTTCCTCTTCACGTTCTGCCATAAGGGTGGTGTCATCTGCGTATCTGAGGTTATTGATATTTCTCCCGGCAATCTTGATTCCAGCTTGTGGTTTTTCCAGCCCAGCATTTCTCATGATGTACTCTGCATATAAGTTAAATAAGCAGGGTGACAATATACAGCCTTGACGTACTCCTTTTCCTATTTGGAACCAGTCTGTTGTTCCATGTCCAGTTCTAACTGTTGCTTCCTGACCTGTATACAGGTTTCTCAAGAGGCAGGTCAGGTGGTCTGTCTGGTATTCCCATCTCTTTCAGAATTTTCCACAGTTTGTTGTGATCCACACAGTCAAGGCTTTCACATATTCAATAAAGCAGAAATAGATATTTTTCTGGAACTCTCTTGCTTTTTCAATGATCCAGCAGATGTTGGCAATTTGATCTCTGGTTCCTCTGCCTTTTCTAAATCCAGCTTGAACATCTGGAAGTTCATGGTTCACGTATTGCTGAAGCCTGGCCTGGAGAATTTTGAGCATTACTTTACTAGTGCATGAGATGACTGCAATTGTACGGTAGTTTGAGCATTCTTTGGCACTGCCTTTGGGATTGGAATGAAAATTGTCCTTTTCCACTCCTGTGGCTACTGCTGAGTTTTCCAAATTTGCTGGCATATTGAGTGCAGCACTTTCACAGCATCAGTTTTCAGGATTTGAAGTAGCTCAGCTGGAATTCCATCACCTCCACTAGTTTTGTTCATAGTTATGCTTCCTAAGGTCCACTTGACTTCTCACTCCAGTATGTCTGGCTCTAGGTGAATGATCACACCATCGTGATCATCTGGGTCATGAAGATCTTTTTTGTATAGTTCTTCTGTGTATTCTTGCCACCTCTTCTTAATATCTTCTGCTTCTGTTAGGTCCATATGGTTTTTGTCCTTTATTGTGCCCATCTTTGCATGAAATGTTCCCTTGGTATACCTAATTTTCTTAAAAAGATCTCCAGTCTTTCCCATTCTTTTTTTTTTTTAAATCTATTTCTTTGCATTTGTTACTAAAGAAGGCTTTCTTATTCTCCTTGCTATCTTTGGAACTCTGCATTCATATGGGTAGATCTTTCCTTTTCTCTTTTGCCTTTGGCTTCTCTTCTTTTCACAGCTATTTGTAAGGCCTCCTCAGACAACCATTTTGCCTTTTTGCCTTTGTTTTTCTTAGGGATGGTCTTGATCACTGCTTTCTGTACAATGTCTTGAACCTCTGTCCAGAATTCTTCAGGTACTCCATCAGATCTAATCCCTTGAATCTATTTGTCACTTCCACTGTATAATCATAAGGGATTTGATTTAGGTCATACCTGAATGGTCTTTTGGGTTCCCCTACTTTCTTCAATTTAAGTCTGAATTTGGCAATAAGGAGTTCATGAACTGAGCCACAGTCAGCTCTATAGAGTGCAGAATAAATGTCTTAGTTAATCTCAGCAACTACAGGTGAGATTTTGGAGAGGTTATGAACAATGCTGTGCTGTCCAGGTTGTGTTTGAGTTAAGGTAAAGTAGTTCAAGGTCTTTTTAAGTGAAAATCTGTTTGTGAATAGAAAGGGGTTCCAGAAGGCTTAGCTCTAGGAATTAGAAAGAAAGTAAAGAAAGAAGCCAAAGAGGCTAAAGTTTTTCCACAGACAAAAAGCTGTCTGAGGACACTGTGGCCAAAGACTGTGGGGTTCTGCTTCATTTCAGGGAGAGACAAATAGGTAGAGTACAGAGGATTTTTAGGGGAGTGAAACGATTCTGTGTAACACTATAATGGTAGGTACATGTCATTATACATTTGCCAAAACTCATGGAATGTATAAGATCAAGACTAAACCGGTAAACTATGGGTGATAATGTGTGCTGTGCTGTGCTTAGTTGCTCAGTCATGTCCAACTCTTTGCAACTCCATGGACTGCAGCTGGTCCAGCTCCACTGTCCATGGCAATTCCCCAGGCAAGAATACTCCAGTGGGTTGCCATGCTGTCCTTCAGGGGATCTTCCCAACCCAGGGATCAAACTCAGGCCTCCTGCATTGCAGGCTGATACTTTACCAGCTGAGCTACCAGGGAAGCCCAAGAATACTGGAGCGGGGAGCCTGTCCCTTCTTCCCGACCCGGGAATCCAACCGGAGTCTCCTGCATTGCAGGCCGATTCTTTACCAGCTGAGCTACCAGGGAAGCCCAAGAATACTGGAGCGGGGAGCCTGTCCCTTCTTCCCGACCCGGGAATCCAACCGGAGTCTCCTGCATTGCAGGCTGATTCTTTACCAGCTGAGCTACCAGGGAAGCCTGATAATGATGTGTAGGTTCATCAATTCATAACAAATGTACCATCCAGGATGTTGATAGTCAAAGAGACTTGGGTCAGGGTGGGCAGAGGTGTATGTGCACTCTCCACTTTCTTTTCAATTTTGCTGTGAACCTAAAACTGCTTTTTAGAAAGTAAGCAAGCAAAACTAACCATGTTTAAACAAGAAAAAAAAAAAGGTTGCTTAGGAAAGGGAGAGGAAATGAGTGTGAGTGTGGATGAGGAATAAAAAAACAATAATAAAGGAGAGGGATCTTGCACTGGGCCTATGACAATGAACTGTTATGAAATCAATGTTTAACTCAGTGGTCACCTTAAACCCAAGAGAAAGAAAATGAGACTGATGTATGTGCACCTGCTCTGTAATCACAAATATATCAGATACAACACCGGGTTATTGATTATATTTTGTCCCTCATTCTCATTCACTTGTTTACCACATTTTGAACATACCTCCTTATGACGCAGAAGTAACCTCATAAAATAAGCTAAAAGCTATAATCTGAATGCAATTATACTACCTCACATTCCCCACAGAGGGAATCCGTTTATATTTCCTCACATCTTAGCACTTCTTTTTTTAACATTAAAAGAAAAAAAAAAAAAGTGTGCTCTGCATGAATGCACAGGACTTGGAAGTGTAAGGAGGAATGTGCCTTTCTTGCCTTCATTTCCGGACACTTGCTGCCGGCTGGTGGCGTTACCGCGCAATAACTAATATTTTTTGCCTTTCCACCTGTCACCTGGAAGGAACAGCGGAGCAGTTGTCAGACTCAGCTTCAGCTCGATGGTTCTTTTTTTTTTTTTTTAAACTGCCTAGCCCCGCACCTTCAGGGATTTCAATAGTTCCCCGACCAGGGATTGAATCTTGCCCTCCGCGGTGACAGCGTTGAGTCCTAGCTGGACTGGATCCCAGGGAATTCCTACTTTTCTGACCTTTTAGGAAACGCATCCCCGTGAACTTGCCAGCCTAAGGGACTCGACTCACAGTCAGTTCAGCACTAGCGCTTCAAGGGGCAAAGGGGACGATCTCGGAGACGACTGAGACCAGGCAGGCCTTTTTGATCCGAAGACTCGCTCAGTCCTCCCTTGCGCCCCCAGGAGGTGCAACCGGCGGTGGGAGGACTGCGCATGCGAGGTTTGACGGGCATTGCGCCGTCAACGCTTCCGGTGGCCTCGGGTCTCCCGCTACAACGTGAAGATGGGGGAGGACGTCAGAGGCGCGCACAGCGAAGGGCCACAGAAGCTAGTCCTCTGCGTTCTCTGCGGCTTGCCCGCGGCAGGAAAGTCAACTTTCGCGCTCACCCTCAGACACCGGCTACAGCAGGAGCTGGGCTGGGCGGTGGGCGTCGTCGCCTATGATGACGTCATGCCGGAAGCGGGCCTTGAGGCAAGCGCACGCCCACTGGTCAGTACGGAGGGGGCGGGGCCTAGGCCGGAGTTCAGTTCAGTTCAGTTCAGTTCAGTTCCGCTCAGTTGCTCGGTCTTGTCCGACTCTTTGTGACCCCTTGAACTACAGCCCGCCAGGCCTCCCTGTCCATCACCAACTCCCGGAGTTTACTCAGGCTCACGTCCATTAAGTCGGTGATGCCATCCACCAGCTCATCCTCTGTCGTCCCCTTCTCCTCCCGCCTTCAATAGCCAAGGGAAATATATTATTGGAGGAGACCCTGATGCTGGGAAAGATTGGGGGCAGTAGAAGAAGGGGACGACAGAGGATGAGATGGTTGGATGGCACCATAGGTGTACTGGATAATGCATGGTGTGGGAGAAGGATCCCTGATGGAGGAGAGACAGGGGTTCGAGGAAAGTGAGCTGGTTTACACAGAATAAGTTGACTATGAATATGACAGGAACAAACAGCCACCAGTATAGGGTTAGATTCTGAAGTCAGCGTGCAAGGTGGAAATCTCCCATTGTCAGATACCCTCCTGAAAATCCTTTGGGAAGGTTGTTCTGAAAAGAGGGACAGACGCTCTCAAAAATTCCAACACAGCCAATTTAACAATCAGCCAGGAAAATCCAGGTTTTATGGGGCTTTAAGTTATGCAGTTTGAGGGAAACCCTTTTAAAGAAGAAGAATACAAAATTACAAGTAACAAGGTACTTTCTAGGGTGCCTCCTGTGAAAGTCCAGTCTGTACAAATGAAGAATTCATCTTCTGAAGCTGGATCTTCATTTGTAATGAGTAAACCTGCCACTGCCAGAATAGGAAAAGATGTTGGTTTCTTAGTTGACCACCAAATGAAGTAATAGGCTTGTCTTTGGGTACCAAGTGCATACTCTGCTTTAAACCCTCAGATCACCCTCAGCGCGATGGGATGCATCCCTTTGAGAAGCATGTGAAAACAGAGACTTTTGGGGCAACAGTAGATTGATGGCACTCATCTCATGCTAACTCTAGAGAAAATACTCCATGACATATTCTGAAAATTTTAAGTAGTTTTGTTGTTTAGTGCTGAATGTAGATGAGTTTGCATAAATAAAATGCAAATGTGTGATTTCAGTCTGAGTATATTTGCAAAAATACAATGCATTTGGCATGTGAAAAATTTTGGACTTCACCAGCAAAGTTATATACTTCCCCATTCTTGGCTAATTGTGAGGTAAATATGGTATCAGTCCTGTGGTAGCACTGGATTTACTTAGGTAATAGTATTTTCACCACTCTGGAGGAAGCTGGAACTTGGCAATAGAGATTGTATTTGCTGTGGATTTCCCTCAGTTTTCTTACTGTATTTTTTCCACTCTCCCCCTACAAAGGCCCAGGGGCTAATTTTGTTACCATGATTAGGATATCTCACATTTTAGGAAGTGATCTGTGTTGCTCTTTTCTTTTCAGTGGATTTCACTGATATATTGGGTTGGCCAAAAAATTCATTTGGGTTTTTCCATAAGATGGTATAGAAAAATCCGAGCCAACTTTTTGGGCAATCCAATATTTGTTTTGTGTGCTGTAATCTCAGTGATGTGATGAGGCGTGGACAGACAGGAGAGGGATCCTCATCTCCCATCCTTGTGTTTTCCCTCCAGCCTTGATCTTATAACTGAGTCAGTGTTCTCCAGAGCTCTTGAGCAGCAGCGAGGTTACTTGTGTTTCCACATTATTTATTCTCTTCCCCTCAATCTGCTTGCTCTATCTTTCACTATCCCATTCCATTCCTATTGTTAGCCTGATGTCCTTTCATCTGGACCCAGAGACTTTTCAGCTGATCCTCTTTCTGTCTGCAGATTTGCTTATTTCAAGGGCACGTGGGCATTGCTATATCTTAGCCAGACTGTTTTATCTTGGCAGGATATTTTAGTTCCTTCTTTCTCCTGGTAACAGCTTTTCATTCTTTCATTTATTCACTTTTTCAGTCATCTCATATACATTTCTGGAGCATTTTTAGGTGTTAAACCCTCTGCTGGAGGCTGAGTATACAGCAGACTATTATTGATCTAGCAGGGACATGGAGTTGCTTAAACAGTGTAAACCCTCTTAGAGTGGAGACTCAATGTATACAGGTGTCATGGTAGGCAAGGGAGGGTCTGCATGCCTTCTGCATGGTTGAGTCTGAAAAGAGTTCACAGAGAGCTAATATCGCTGAGTAGTTTTTCAGCAGAGGGAATAGCATATATGAAGACATGAGTATGAGAAAGCCAGTTGTGTCTAGAAACCTCCAAATGGTTCTGAAATTATCATATGGAGCAGGGCGGGTGTTGAGGCATGACCACACTACTGGCCAAAGCCTAATATAATTTACAGTTCTCTGGTATTTTGCAGCCATCCCAGTGGAAATTGCTTCGCCAGGAACTGTTGAAGTACCTTGAACACTTCTTGCTGGCTGTCATTAACGGGTGTCAGATGTCTACCCCACCCAGCAGGACTGAAGCCATGTGGGAGGATTTTATAACCTGCTTGAAGGATCAAGATATGATATCTTCTGCAGCTGTTGAGGCCCAGTCTCTCTACCCCTTAACAAAGACTGCTGTGTCTAGACCTCTGCTTTTGATTTTAGATGACAACTTTTATTATCAAAGTATGAGATATGAAGTCTATCAGCTGGCTCGGAAATGTAATTAACACATTTTTTTCTCCTCTCACACACAAAGATATTTATTCACATATCAAATTTACTAGTGCTGGAACTTCCCCAGTGATCCAGTGATTAAGACTTCACATTCCAATGCAAAGGGTGAGGGTTTGATCCCTGGTCAGGGAGCTGATATCCCACATGCCTTGTGGCCAATAAACCAAAACATAAAACAGAAACAACACTATCACAATCTCAGTAAAGACTTTAAAAATGGTCTGCATCAAAGAAAAACCAACATCACTGTTTTTAGTGGGAACTTAAGTGGATTAGGAGGTTTATATGGATTTGCTTCATTTTCAAAGCTACACAATAGTTCAGTACTGCGAATGGTCTTTCCTTCTGCAGATGGGATAACTTATGTAAATGCATTTAGTTCCCATTTTGGAAGAGTACTGCCTGAGTAATTTTGTGGTGTTTGAATTGTTTTCAGATTCATTAGGCTTTTGCCAGCTCTTTTTAGACTGTGCTCTGGAGACCTGTCTACAGAGGAATGCCCAGAGACCACGACCACTGCCTGCCGAGACCATCCACCAGATGGGAAACAAGATAGAAAAGCCCAACCCTGAGAAAAATGCTTGGGAACGCCGCAGCCTCGCAATTCCGAATCCAGCATGTGCTTCGGAGGCCAGGTAGCCCACTCAAAGGTGCCTTTCCACCAGGTGCCTTGCTGGGCCGAGCCCTGGGCCGCATGCTTCTCCTGCTATCCACGTGGTTGCTCCTCACACAAGCCTTGGATAGATTATTTCTTCCCCTTTGTGTAGAAGAGAAAACCCAGTGAGGAAGTTTAGTTTGCCCAGAGTCACTGAGATTGTCAGTTTCAGCTGAGAGGTGAATCCAGGTTTGTTTGCAAATATGTCCTCTGTTGAAATTATATGGTTTCCCAGGGATCAGGGCAGGGAGTTCAGAGTAGGATACCTCTCTGATACTCTTGCTGAAGTAGTGTAGTCTAGATTGCCCAGCAGTTTTCTTTCCTTTGTCAGTTTTTTAAAAAAACTTTTTATTTCTTTTTTTGGCTGCACCACGAGGCTTGTGTGATCTTAGTTCCATAAGCAGGGATCGAACCCATGTCCTCTTCATTGGGAGCACAAAGTCTTAACCACTGGACCACCAGGGAGGTCCCCTCAGTAGTTTCTTATACAGAGAAAAGTAATGGAACTGAATCCTGGCTATGCCTTAAATCTCACTCCATTACACTGCTTGTGTAGGTGTGAGGCTTGTGGCTATATTGTCTAATTCATTTGATTACCGAAATAGGTCTCTAGAGTTCTAGAGTTCTAGTTTACAACATTTCTGATAGAAATTTCACTGATGATGGAACTGTTCTGTATTTGTCCTGCCCAGTATGGTAGCTGCTAGCCACATGCAACTGGCCATCAAGCACTAGACATATAACCAGTGCAACTCACGACCTGAATTTTATTTATTATGTATTTATTTGGCTGTCCTGGGTCATCTTTGCTGCATGTGGGCTCTCTCTAGTTGCAGAGAGCCAGGGATGCTCTAGTCACTGTGCATGGGATTCTCCTTTCGGTGGGTTCTCTTGTTGTGGACCACAAGCTCTAGAGCACAGCCTAAGTAGTTGTGGCCCATGGGCTTAGTTGTTCTGAGGCATGTGGGATCTTCCTAGACCAAGGATCCAACCCATATGCCCTGTTTTGGCAGGTAGATTCTTAAACACTGGACCACCAGGGAAATCCCATGACCTGAATTTTAAATGTTATTTTGATCACTTTAAACTTAACTGGTTGCATGTGGCCTGTGGGTGCTGCAGGAACAACAAAATTCTAGAGGTATGTCCCCCATATTTCCTTAGTTCCTGCCTCACTGTTGTCCATATGAGATCAACAGTTTTTAAAAGGCTAATGTTTTAAACTCTGTACTCTGTATTCTCTTCCAATCATATCAATGTTTTTCTTAAACTCATTCTTCAAAATGTTTAGTTCCCAAGATAGTTTCCATGCATTTTGTAATACTCTAACATTATAAAACATTCAAAATTGGATTTAAGTAAGTACTGTTCATAGGGTTAATGAAATAAGCTATGGCTGAGATTTCTAATTTTAACTTTCCATAATATCTTGAAACTTTGAGCAGGTGAACACATAGCTGATTGATGGCTTGTGTTTCTGGAATACTGAAAATGTTTTCCTTCGGAAATGAATGGCTGGTTGAGATATTGAGATATCCCATGAGAGCAGCCCAAGGTTACCATCACTGCTTTAGGGGCTAGTTCTTACTAGAGGTAGGAAGGAGTGTGAGCTTTGCCAGTGCCAGGGCTAACCCTGAGCAGAATCTGCAGGTTTGTCTTGAGTCTTAAGAACTTGGTCCAGGGACTTCCCTGATGGTCCAGTGGCTAAGACTCTGTGCTGCCAAAGCAGGGGACCCAGATTCAGTTCCTGGCCAGGGAACTAGATCCCACAAGCCACAGCTAAAAAGATCCCACATTCCACAGCTAAGACCCTGTGCAGCCAAATAAATAAATATATAATTTTAAAAAGACAAAACCTAAACCAGGGAGGAAAAAAAAACCAACCTGTGGTCTAAAATAGTCCCAGCATAGCTGTGAAGGGGTTGTCTAAAATCTGGTGAACTTCTATTTAAAGTTGAAAGATGATATGACAAATATACCTTTCCCAGGCTTCTGTGAAATACTACAACTACTTAACTGGTGGTTCAGCAGTAAAGAATCCGCCTGCAATTCAGGAGCTGCAGGTTTGATTCCTAGGTCAGGAAGATCCCCTGGAGTAGGAATTGGCAACCGACTCCAGTATTCTTGCCTGGAGAATCCCATGGACAGAGGACCCTGGTGGATTAGAGTCCATAGCGTCACAAAGAGTTGGACATGACAACTGAGCTCACATACACAGACACACACACACACACAGACACACACACACACACACAAATGAGTAGAAGCCAGGAAATAAAGACTAAGCATGCTTCTTTGGGGAATATAAAGTTGTAGGTGCCTAAAGTTCAGCACTTAATGAGAGAAAAGAGAGAATATCTTTTCAAAGCTTATTAATAGGGGTCTTAGGAAATTACTAATTTTTTACAAGAGGGATTTTGGGGGGCTTCTTTGTTTTGAAGTTCTACATTTGAATTTTGCAAGCAGAAGGGAGCTTCCAAATCACTTTGCTTTCCCCTTTCTGTTTAGGATTTTGGATATACCTCTTTTATTCCTCTAGAATTCAGCTTAGTGCTCAAAAACACAAGTTCTTTTAAAAAACAGGTGTTTAATGTAAGAATTTATTTAATCCTACCTCCTCTTACAGGCTGAAGCTGACTGATTTATTGATTACTGCTTTGGAAAATCCAGTAAAATACATGGAGGAGAATTTGGAACAAAAAGTAAGTCTTTCAGTTGAGATTTAGCATAAATGAGAAGGAACTTTCGGAAGAAGGATCTTCTGTAGGAAGAGCATTTGGAGCTGAGTGTGAAATATGAATAATGTGTGGAAGGTGATCTCTGTCCCTGCCCCAGCATCTCACCAGCATCCAGCCCCTGATACCTGGGTGCAGCAGTGCTCTGGAGGCAGCCTGCGCTGCTTGGTCAAAGGCAGCTGTTAAATTTTCAGAAACATTGGAGCCTGCTGATGTTACATTGATAGCTTGAAGTGGGCATGGATGGGAATATTTACACCATTGTTGTTGTCGTTTAATCACTCAGTCGTGTCTGACTCTTTGTGACCCCAGGGACTGAAGCATGCCAGGCTTCCCTGTCCTTCACCATCTCCTAGAGCTTGCTCAAACTCATGTCCTTTGAGTCAGTGATGCCATCTAACCATCTCATCCTCTGTCGTCCCCTTCTCCTCCTGCCTTCAGTCTTTCCCAGCATCAGGGTTTTTTCCAATGAGTCAGCTCCTCGCATCAGGTGACCAAAGTATTGGAGCTTCAGCTTCAGCATAAGTCCTTCCAATGAATATTCAGGACTGATTTCCTTTAGGATTGACTAGTTTGATCTCCTTGCAGTCCAAAGGACTCTCAAGAGTCTTCTCCAGCACCATAGTTCAAAACCATCAATTCTTCGGTGCTTAGCCTTCTTTATAGTCCAACTCTTATATCTGTACACAACTACTGGAAAAACCATAGTTTTGACTAGACGAACCTTTGTTGGAAAAGTAATGTCTATGCTTTTTAATATGCTATCTAGGTTTGTCATTGCTTTTCTTCCAAGGAGTAAGTGTCTTTTAATTTAATGGCTGCATTCACCATCTGCAGTCATTTTGGAGCCCAAGAAAATAAAGTCTGTCACTGTTTCCATTGTTTCCCCATCTATTTGCCATGAAGTGACTGGGACCAGATGGCATGATCTTAGTGTTTTGAATTGAGTTCTAAGCCAGCTTTTTCACTCTCCTCTCTCACTTTCATCAAGAGTCGCTTTAGTTCCTCTTCACTTTTTGCCATAAGGGTGGTGTCATCTGCATATCTTGAGGTTATTGATATTTCTCCAAGCAATCTTGATTCCAGCTAGTACTTCATCTAGCCCAGCATTTCACTTGATGTACTCTGCATATAAGTTAAATAAGCAGAGTGACAATATACAGCCTTGACATACTCCTTTCCCAATTTGGAACCAGTCTGTTGTTCCATGTCCAGTTCTAATTGTTGCTTCTTGACCTGCATACAGGTTTCTCAGGAGGCAGGTCAGGTGGTCTGGTATTCCCACCTCTTGAAGGATTTTCCACAGTTTGTTGTGATCGACACAGTCAAAGGCTTTATCATAGTCAATAAAGCAGGAGTAGATGTTTTTCTGGAATTCTCTTGCTTTTTCTGTGATCCAGTGGATGTTGGCAATTTGATTTCTGATTCTTCTGCCTTTTCTAAAACCAGCTTGAACATTTGGGAGTTCTTAGTTTACATGCTGTTGAAGCCTAGCTTGGAGAATTTTTAGCTTTACTTGGCCACCATGTGAAATGAGTGCAATTGTGTGGTAGTTTGAACATTCTTTGGCACTGCCCTTTTTGGGGATTCGAATGAAAACTGACCTTTTCCAGTACTGTGACCATTGCTGAGTTTTCCCAATTTCCTGGCATACTGAGTGCAGCACTTCAACAGCATCATCTTTTAGGATTTGAAATAGCTTAGCTGGGATTCCATCACCTCCACTAGCTTTGCTTGTAGTGATGCTTCCTAGGGCCTACTTGACTCCTCACTCCAAGATGTCTGGCTTTAGGTGAGTGATCACACCATTGTGGTTATCTGGGTCATTAAGATCTTTTTCGTATAGTTCTTCTGTCTGTTCTTGCCACCTCTTCTTAATATCTTCTGCTTTTGTTAGGCCCATACATTTCCTGTCCTTTATTGTGCCCATCTTTGCATGGTATGTTCCCTTGGTATCTCTAATTTTCTTGAATAGAGAATCTTTCCCATTCTAAATAGACAAACACTATAGATGGGTTTGTTTCTGTCTTTGAGACTCCATTCTTAGACATTAACCAGCATACCTGTAGGCACATGTAACCCAGTTCACAACTTGATGTATTTCACTTAGACCCTCTCCTAGAGAAGAAGGGGGCTTCCCTGGTGGCTCAGATGGTAAAGAATCTGCCTGCTATGCAGGAGACCTGGATTCGATTCCTGGGTTGGAAGATCCCCTGGAGAAGGGAATGGCTACCCACTCCAGCATTCTTGGCTGGGAAATCCCATGGACAGAGGAGCCAGGCGGGCTACAGTCCATGGGGTCACAAAGAGTCAGACACGACTGAACGACTAACACTTTCACTAGAGAATACCTGGAACAGAAAAGCCCCTTTTACTTTTCTTTCCGTCTGTTCACCTATGTATCACCTACACTTTAGTAATTTCTTTTATACAACTAGGTAACTGTCCCAATAACAATGTCTTATTACCTAGGAAACAGACAGACTTATCTGTTCAACTAACATTCTTCATCAAGCTGATCAGACCCTCCGAAGAATTGTCTCTCAGACAATGAAGGAAGCCAAAGGTATGCTTAGTAGTTAAGATTCTGTTCAGTTGAGACTATTCTCTCCTGCTACTCTTGTTCCCTGGACACGAGTACTTTATGTACTTTCATTTGTGATGTTTACATCAGGTGTTCTGTTTAAATGTGCAACTCGGTTATGTTAAACTTCCACCCCTGGAATCAGGTTTTCATCCATCCAGTAGGTTTTTATTGAGTGGCTACTCTCTACTAGGCTTTATTCTAGATATTGGAACATTTGGAGGGAACAGAATGTCATAGTGAGGAGACACACACAAAAAATGAGTATATGAATATATGCCAGTGCTCTGAAGAAAAATAAAGTAGGGTAAGGCAGCATAGGGGCTTCCCTGGGGGCACAGAGGTTAAAGAATCCACCTGCAGTGCAGGAGACCTGGGTTCGATCCCTGGGTCGGGAAGATCCCCTGGAGAAGGAAATGGCAACCCACTCCAGTATTCTTGCCTGGAGAATCCCATGGATGGAGGAGCCTGGTGGGCTACATTACATTAGTCCATGGGGTCTTAAAGAGTCGGACATGACTGAACAACTTCACTTTCATAAGACAGTGTAGTGATGGGAGGATTTATTTTTAAAAGAGCAACCATGAAGACTTCTTGGAGGAAGTGAAATTTAAGCAAAGATGTGAATGAAGGGAAATAGCAAGCCATACTGATGCCTGGAGGATCATTCCAAGCAGTGCACAGGTAAAGCTGTTATGTTCTAGAACACAAAAGAAGCCATTGAGTCCAGAGTGAAGCAAGGGATGGGGAGAGGTAGTCAGGGCCAGTTGGAAAATCAGCATGGCATCTGAACAAGCTCAGTGCACTGTCAGTCTGAGGTTAGATGAAATATATGGTAATTACAGTTTTGGAAAATTATTCCTATAAGTTTTAAATATTGAACTCTTTACTATCATCCTTGATTTAAAAAATAACAGCAGCTTAACATTTCTTGAACTCCTTTTATATGCTAAGAGCCTTATATATTTTTTCTAGTCTTCAGAATCCTATCAGAGAAGTGTAGTTTTACAAATGGGGAAATGGAGGGTCTGAGAGGATAAGTATCCCTGCTCAAGGCTACACTGAACAGTGGCTATATATACTGGGCAACTTGGGGCTCAGAGTTAAGTCTGGTTCTAGTCAGTGCTTTCTGTTATGCTCCCGCACATCACCAACATTTATTATTAATGCCTTTAGAAAAACTTAGGACATTGGAAGAAGAAACAGTATACTAACCGTATTGTTTTTCAAACTTTTTTTTAAAACTGTGATCCATAAGTAGATTTTAATGACCTAGTGTGTGTAGCCCCTTACACAAACACACTCCTGCATAGAAACTGGTTTCACAAAACACTCCCATGTTTAATGAACTCTACTGTGGGACTATTTGATTGCATCTTAGAAAAACACTGGTTGCAATGTGCAACCCAGGAATGGGTTATAATACAAAATTTGGAAAAGAGCTGGAACAAAAATGGTCTTACGTCAGAATGAAAACAAGAATAGTTGTAGAAGTTCTTTCAGCCATTTGCCTTTGTCTATAAAATGAATTATGACCATGACATCGGTCCCATCACTTCATGGCTAATAGAAGGGGAAAGAGTGGAAGCAGTGACAGATTTTATTTTCTTGGGCTCCAAAATCACTGCAGATGGTGACTGCAGCCATGAAATTAAAAGACGCTTGCTTCTTGGAAGGAAAGCTATGATAAACCTAGACAGTGTATTAAAAAGCAGAGAGATCACTTTGCCAACAAGGTCCATATAGTCAAAACTAAGGAAATGGCAACCCACTCCAGTATTCTTGCCTGGAAAATCCCATGAAAGGAGGAACCTGGTAGGCATGGGGTCATAGAGTCGGACACGACTGAGTGACTTCACTTTCACTTTCATGGTTTTTCCAGTAGTCATGTATGGTTGTGATAGTTGGACCATAACGAAGGCTGAGTGCCAAAGAGTTGATGCTTTTGAATTGTGGTGCTGGAGAAGACTCCTGAGAGTCCCTTGGACTGCAAGGAAATCAAACCAGTCAATACTAAAGGAAATCATTGGAAAGACGGATGCTGAAGCTGAAGCTCCAATACTTTGGCCACCTGATGCAAAGAGCCAGTGCATTGGAAAAGACCCTGATGCTGGGAAAGATGGAGGGCAGGAGGATGAGGGGGTGACAGAGGATGAGATGGTTGGATGGCATCCCTGACTCAATGGACATGAATCTGAGCAAGCTCCGGGAGACAGTGGAGAACAAAGAAGCTTGGCATGCTACAATTCATGGGGTGGCAAAGAATCAGACATGACTTAGCGACTGAACAACATAAAATCAAGAGGGAATAGGGTTATACCCAAATTACTCTTGACTCTCTTCCTATCAATTAAATTTTTTTTTTCCTTTTGGTGAAGGAGATGGCACTAGCTTCTAGAACTCTGCTTAGATAAAATTAGAAAATTTGGTTCTCTTTCCATTAAGAAGTAAAAGGACAATCCACAGAATGGGAGAAAATATTTGCAAATCACATCTCATAAGGGACTTATACCCAAAGTATATACAGGACTCTCACAACTCAATAATAAAGACAAATAACCCAATTTTTTAAACGGGCAAAGAATCTGAGTAGAAATTTCTTCAGGGAAGATAGACAAATGGCTAGTAAACACATGGAAACACACCTGGCATTATCAGTCATCAGGGAAATACAGATCCAAACCACAGTGAGATGCCACTGCACACTCACTAGGACAGCTAGAATCTAAAAGTCCAGGTTTTAGTGAGGATGTGGAGAACTCAGAATCCATGGCCACCACTGCTGGGAATGTAAAATGGTGCAGCTGTTTTGGAAAACAGCCTAGCAGCTCCCAAAGAGTAAATGTAGTTACCGTGGGACCTAGAAATGAAAACATGTATTTATTCATATAAAAATTTGTACACAGGTGCTTATAGCATCATTATTACTAATAACCAAAAGGTAGAAGTAACCCAAATGACCATCAGCTGACAAACATATGGATATGTCCATCTATCCAAAAAATGGATTATTCAACCATAAAACGCAGGAAAATACTGCAACATGGATGAACCTTGAAAGCATTATGAAAAGTGTTAGAAGCCAGTCACAAAAGGTCACACAGTATGAGTCTAGTTATGTGAAATGTCCAGAATGGGGAAACCTGGAAACATGAGGTAGATTACTGGTTGCTTAGGGACTGAGGGCAGAGAGAGGGGGAATGGGGAAGGAGGGTGATATTACCTATCACAGGTGATAAAAATGTTTCTTAAGATTGACTGTGATGATTGCTGCTTATATCTGTGAATATACTAAAACTACTGAGTTGTAGTTTAAATGGTAAGCTGTAATGTTAATTCTACCTCCATAAAGCTGTTCAACAAAGAAGTCAAGTTCTCAGTCACATCACCCACATGGCTAGCGGCTGCTGGACTGAATAGTGCAGACATAGAAAACTTCCATCATTGTAGGAAATTATATTGGACAACTGTTCTAGGTATACGAGCTTTAAACCCAACTGTCATTTTCTAGCTCTGCTCTTTTGCCTTACTATCTGTTAATTCAATAAGATTGTAAGCCAATTTATTTTGTCAACAAAAAGCCTTTTCTGCTCACATATTTCATAGCAAGTTATTTAAATGATTTGCTTGTATTGCATTGTGACCTTTGTCTACATGTATATTACACCAGCTCAATTATTATTTGTAGAAGAATCTGAATGGTTTGTCTGAAGTAATCAAATTAATTTCCTGGTGTCATCAGTCCAGCTAAATTTAATCTACCCAAATAATTTTGAGTATCTTTATTTTAGATGAACAGATGTTTCCCTACAACTTGAAGCTTTTGGCAGAGGAACTTAACAAGCTCAAAGCAGAGTTTTTGGAAGACCTAAGACAAGGAAACAAAAGATACCTGTGCTTTCAACAAACCATTGACTTACCAGATGTTATTTCTTTTTTCCATTATGAGAAAGATAACATTGTACAGAAGTATTTTTCAAAGCAGCATTAAAACTTCTGAACCTCCAATCAAATATCTAGTTTGGTTATGATTTTGCAAACTAATTAAAACAATTATGTATTACTGGATGTGTTCTAGTCTAATAATGTGAATTGCTAAAGACCTGTTAAAAAAAAAAATCAGTCTATTCTTTGGACAAACTCTTAGAAAGATAAGAGTCTCCCTAGACTGAATCAGGAAGAAATAGAAAATATGAACAGACCAATCATAGCACTGAAATTCAAACCATGATTAAAAACCTTCCAGCAGACAAAAGTCTAGTACCTGACTTTTTTTATGAAGAGAAGAGTTAACACCTATCCTTCTGAAACTGTTTCCAAAAAGTCACAGAGGAAGGAAAACTTCCCAATCCATTTTATGAGGCCACCATCACCCTGATATCAAAACCAAAGATATCACACAAAAAAGAAAATTACAGGCCAGTATCACTGATGAACATAGATGCAGAAATCATCAACAAAATACTTGCAATCTGTATCAAACAATACATTAAAAAGATCATACACCATGATCAAGTGGTGAATCCCTGGGATTCGTCCCAGGGATGCAAGGATTCTTCAGCATCTGCAAATCAATCACTGTGATACATCAAACCAACAAATTGAAGAATAAAAATTGTATGATCATCTCAATAGATGCAGAAAAAGCTTTTGACGAAATTCAGCACCCATTTATGATAACAGCTCCCCAGAAAGTGGATGTAGAGGGTACATTCCTCAACATAAGAAAGGCCATATAACAAACCTATAGCTAGCATCATACTCAGTGGCGAAAAGCATTCCCTCTAAGATCAGGAACAAGACAAGGATGTCCACTCTCACTAGTTTTATTCAACATAGTTTTGGAAGTCCTAGCTACAATAATCAGAGAAGAAAAAGAATGGGAATCCAAATTGGAAAGTGAGCTCAACTGTCACTGTTTGCAGGTAGTGTGAGTCTGTACATAGAAGAGCCTAAAGATGCTACCTGAAAACTACTAGAACTCATCAATGAATTTGTTAAAGTTGCAGGTTACAAAATTAACACACAGAAATCTGTTGCATTTCTACACACTAACAACAAAAGATCAGAAAGAGAAATTCAAGAAGCAATTCCATTTACCATTGCAACAAAAAGAATAACACACCTAGGAATAAACCTACCTAAGGAGACAAAAGACCTTTGGTCTGAAAACTATAAGATGCTGATGAAAGAAATCAAAGACATAAACAGATGGAAAGATATACCATGTTTGTGGATTAGAAGAATCAATACTGTCAAAATAATTATATTACTTAAGGCAATCTACAGATTCAATGCAATCCCTGTCAAATTACCAATGGCGTTTTTCACAGAACTAGAACAGAATATCTCAAAATTTGTATGGAGACACAAAAGATCCTGAATGGCCAAAGCAATCTTGGAGGGGGAGAAAAAGAAAACAGAGTTGGTGGAATCAGGCTCCCTGATGTCAGACTATACTACAAAGCTAGTCATCAAAACAGTATGGTACTGGCACAAAAATAGAAATATAGATCAATGGAACAGGATAGAAAACTCAGAAATAAGCCCAGCAACTTTAGTCAATTAATCTATGACAAAGGAGGCAGGACTACACAGTGTTAGAAAAGACAGCCTCTTCAACAAATGGAGCTGGGAAAATTGGACAACCACATGTGAAAAAATGAAATTAGATCATTCCTTAACTCCACATACAAAAATAAGCTCAAAATGGATTAAAGACCCAAATGTGAGACTGGACACTATAAGAGGAAAACATAGGCAGAACACTCTCGGACATAAATCACAGCAACATCGTTTTTGATCCATCTCCCAGAATAATGTAGATAAAAGCAAAAATAAACAAATGAGAGCTACTTAAACTCAAAAACTTTTGCAAAGGGAATAAAACAGACAACCCACAGACTGGGAGAAAATACTTGCAAATCATGTAACTGATGTGGGGTTAAGTCTCCAAAACTTAGAGACAGCTTGACACTTAATAGCATTAAAACAAACAACCCACTCAAAAAATAGGCAGACGACCTGAACAGACATTTATCCAAAGAGGACAGATGTCCAATAGGCACATGAAAAGATGTTCAACATTGCTAGTTATTAGAGAAATGTAAACCAAAACTACAATGAGATACCACCTCACAGCAGCCAGAGTGGCTGTCATCAAAAACTCCATAAACAAGAAATGCTGGAGAGGGTGTGGAGAGAATTTAAGTTGGTGAGAATGTAAATTCTCACTGTTGGTGACAATGTATATTATATTGGTACAGCCACTATGGAGAATACTATGGAGGTTCCTTACAAAACTAAAATAGAGCTACCGTATGACCCTGCAGTACCATTCCTGGGCATATATCCTGAGAGAAAAACATGGGCTTAAAAGATAAATGCACCCCAATGTTCATTGTGAGAGTTGGACTATAATAGAAAGCTGAGTGCCAAAGAATTGATGCTTTTGAACTGTGGTTGAGAGCCCCTTGGACAGCAAGGAGATCCAACCAGTCCATCCTAAAGGAAATCAGTCCTGAGTATTCATTGGAAGGACTGATGCTGAAGCTGAAACTCCAATACTTTGGCCACCTGATTCAAAGAACTGACTCATTTGGAAAGACCCTGATGCTGGGAAAGATTGAAGGCGGGAGAAGGGGATGACAGAGGATAAGATGGTTGGATGGCATCACTGACTCAATTGACATGAATTTGAGAAGGCTCCAGCAGTTGGTGATGGACAGGGAGGCCTGGCGTGCTGCAGTCCATGGGGTCGCAAAGAGTCAGACTCAACTGAAACTGAACTGAATTGAATGTTCACTGCAGCACTGTTTATAATAGCCAAGACAGGGAAGCAACCTAAATGTCCATCTACAGAGGAATGGGCAAAGATATGGTACATATATACAATGGAATGTTCAGTTCAGTTACTCAGTCATGTCCGCCTCTGTGACCCCATGAACTGCAGCACGCCAGGCCTCCCTGTCCATCAGCAATTCCCAGAGTTTATCCAAACTCATATTCACTGAGTCAGTGATACCATCCAACTATCTCATCCTCTGTCATCACCCTCTCCTCCTGCCCTCAGTCTTTGCCAGCATCAGGGTCTTTTCAAATGAATCAGCTCTTTGCATCAGGTGGCCAAATTATTGGAGTTTCAGCTTCAACATCAGTCCTTCCAATGAACACCCAGGACTGATCTCCTTTAGGATGGACTGGTTGGATCTCCTTGCAGTCCAAGGGGCTCTCAACCACAGTTCAAAAGCATCAATTCTTTGGCGCTCAGCTTTCTTTATAGTCCAACTCGAATGTTACTCAGCCATTAAGAATGAAATAAGGCCATTTGCAGCAACATCACCTAGAATGTCATATTGAGTAGAGTAAGTCAGAGAAGGAAATAAAATCAGTTTATTTGTCATAACAGAAACTCCTTCAGTCAGTAGTCACTTGTCAGATGTGACATGAATAATTGAGCAGCAGAGGAAGCCTTCCTTATTCCTGTGCCGGAACACTTTAAGGGGGTCACACCTTAAATAAACAGAAATTAGGAAGGAGACAAAATGCTAATTATGTTACCATTTTTGTTTTTGGTAACTCACATGACAGATCTTCTCATGGGTAAGGCATTCTACAAATCGAAACCAATGTAGCCATAAAACCTTTTCTTTAAAAAAAAAATTAACATTGACATACTGAAAAATTATTTTAAAAACTGGATCCTAGTTTTCAAAAAAGAAAAATCGAGATCCATTAGAAAGTGTGATTTTTTTATTCATACATTACAAAAGCAAAGCTTCATTCACAATATGAACTACATACTAGATAGTTATTTCAGCATTAAACTGCTCTCTGGAATCCCTAAACAATATAGTGTGTTCTGCAACCATACTCAAGTTTTATATTTTACATACAAAATATGTTCTTTACATCAAAGTACATATTAATGAAACCACGTTCTAGAAATCATATATCCTCTAAGACTACTTAATGAAAAGTCCTTAGCAGGGAATTTTTTTTAAAATAATACATCCATTTGCTATTTTTGTAGAACTTAAATGAGGTTTTATCTCTGGACATTTTTTTAGGTAATATTCCCTTTGTCAAACAGTTCTGCAGATGAATGGCAAACACATTTCTAAAATGAGATAGCACTGGAAAATATCCAATTAAATTTTTTCAAAGTAAAAGTCTAGCCTTTACTTGAGTTTCAAGAAGTTGTAGCTACATACTATATTAATAAAAATCTGAAATAAAATTATTCCCTGTTAATCTCATCACAGTTTCTTAAAAAAATATTAGTGGAGATAAATTATCTACCAACTTTAAAAATCTAAACTTATGTTCACTGAACAAAAATAAATTTAGTTTCAGAACATTGCCTGTTATCAGCAAAGTATTATAAATAGTGCATGTTAAACTTTTCTCAACTCATTTCTATAAAATATATGATTAAAAATAAAATGGGAGAAACATATTCAATACTTAATGGAAGATAATATCTTTCCAATACAGAATTTAATTCTCAAAAAATTTAAATAAAATCCTACATATTTTAAAAAATACAATACTAAAAAAGTTTCTAAGGTAGATTTGCTTCAAAAACATTAGTGCATTTAGAATTAACTGTAGCTTTCAAGCATTGACACCTTTGGAATACAACTATGCTCTTTAAGTCATAGGAATTTTAACATTATACATTCTAGTTTGTAATTATGAAAAAATTATCTGAACTAAAATGCTCTTTCAAAGCATCTTTAATTGTCAGAAAAAAAGAAACCACATTTGTCACTATTTGGCCCAGAATATACAGTTAATAAACTGGTTTTAACATTAGAGTTCTTCCTTTTTGTTTAATGAAAACTTCCATTTCCTATTTTGTGGTATTGCTTTTATATAAAGAATACAATAGAAGAAAAAAATAAATGCAAAAGCGTCCAAATGACAGCACCCTGTTTCTGACAGTATATACATACGAGGGTCAAGTTAGACATTTGGAAAAGGCTGCTC